GTTTTGAGCCGGAAAGCGACAGCTGGGGATGGGAGGCAGATGTTGACTGTGTGATCGCGGAGATAAAATCCGTTTCTGAACTGGCACAACACCAGATCAAATGGTGCATCTGACCGCACTCTTTGTAAGCATTCTGGCACCATTCTGGGGTTAGAAATACGGCTTTTCATTTTTGTATTTATACTGGTTCTGTTTTCATATTTCCCAAATTCATATTGTCACTAATTCAGACACAGAGGAATGACCACTTCTCAGTTTCATCAGAGTTCTGACCACAGACTGAAAAAACAGGGTCTGGCATCAACGGAAAGTTTCTTATTTATTCAAATTACTGCACTTTAAAAAAATCAGACAGGAAGAAAGCAAAAAGTTTTCATATATCTGCAAGGAGAAATCCTATTGGTTGCTTGCCATTCCCTCTAAGCCGAGTTAGTGTGAGCTAGCTCACAGTTTTTTAGCGTCCAGCTCACACATTTTTGCCCTAGCTCAGGAAGGATGGCTCCAGAGCAAGTTAATTTATGCTTTAGCCAAATTGCCCGCTCAAAACTTTAATGCCAGTAGCTCACAAAATAGAATTTTTGCTCACAAGTCTCCACAGCTTAGAGGGAACACTGTAAACTTCACAATTATGAAGGAATTTTCACATCACATTTATGTTCTTTAGTTTCTCAGTTTCTCTTTGTCTTGCAGTTTGAAACTCGTGTCACGTTTTGCTCTATATAAATCCGAATGAAATTAATACTGTCAGTTTTATAAAAGGAAGGCAGCAGGGTGGAAAAATAGGAAGAACTATAGTAGGCAGACTATAGTAGACAGTACAAAGTTTACAACTGGGTACAGTTATTGCACCATAATAATAATAGAGCGCTTTTTATTGTGGGGGTCTCTTCCTCAAAGCTGATGTGGCTGCACCTTTTAAAAATTGTCTCAACCCTTTTCTTTGTCTAAATCCACTCACAGGGAGGAAAGATTTCTCTCACGAGTGAAGACCTTTTAAAGCACTTTATTTTCCTGCTCTTTGACACTGAGTAAATCCACAAAAAAACCTTCTAATGACTCTGATGCCATTTCTTGGGCTGTTTCTATGGAAATGAATGTCGGGCTAGTTGAGACAAAGTAAATGGTTTAAAATAATCACTATATAGTGGTTATTTAAAACAAGGCATCCCATGTTTTTAGGCTTGGCCCCTGTTTCTATGGAAATGGGAATAAAAACAGTAGTCCAGACAATTTTTTATTTTATATACCATTTCTGTTAACAAAGGTTCTCTGAGTTCTAATTTTTATATACATTATAAAATTGAAATTGCACAGGTTGCAGTGATTGTGCTTTACGTGCATAAAGCCAGATTCTGGTTGTTTCAAGAAGGGAAAATGGGTTTACTTTTGGTTAGGGCTTTTTATTGAAAAGGGGAATACAGGTGGGGGAGGAGTGTTCACATTAAACTGGGGGAGGGGAGGAAATCCTAATTAAAGCAGAGCATTTGTGCTGATCTCAAAAGCTATGGTTGCATGAACTCATGCCTTATCAAACTCAAATTTTCCATTTGGGTCTTAGCCACTTTCACTATATTTTGGAGTAATCATACGATACACAGTTCATGTTGCATATTGGTCTGTTTTTGTGATTTTATATGAGGCATCTTCCTAACATCTGATCCTCTGCAATCCAATAGTTTTTTATTTACCATTCTGACTTTACAATGACAGGCTGTCGTATTAATTTTATGAAGAGACTCAGTCGAATGGGAACAAACCCAGCAATCTAGTCTAGAAAGTTTTCTCTTATACATACCATTTCTATTTACAATGCACAAAACAGAGTACTTCTAGTAAAGATCGAAAATTTTCATTAATTATCCTGGGACCCTTTGCACTCATTCTACTTTTCTTGAATTGATTAACATGATTCAGTCAAGGTTTTAATGGTGCAGTCCTAAACAGGATTACACTCTCCTAACCCAATTACTTCAATGGGTGTTTGGAAGAACGCTTGTCACACTGTTTAGAATTCCACTTCAAGTATCATTGATTTTGGCGGGACTGACTGAAGCACTCTTCCTGGGAGTAAACCCTATCAAATAGACCCGAGTAAAAGTTTGAGTAGACCTACCAAGGATTACTATCTAACTGTCTCATTGAAATTAAAATGGTTAACAGTGGCTGGCGTGTGTCATATATTAACATGCAGGGATGTTTTGGGAGCTATCTGAGGGAGGTCTGATTGGAAGAATGTTCCATTTTATTCAATAGGGCTTACTCCCAGGAAAGTGTTTTTAGCATTGCAGTCATTGCCGTCATTCCCTTAAGATAGTGTGTAATGGTATGAAATATAATCAAACCATGTGCTTTATCCTTAGCATGATATTCACACAATCTTTATTAATCACCGGTAGCTCAATATCCTGCCCTTATTTAATGGATGAGGTGCAGCTCTCTGCATGATTTTTTTTTTAAAAGTTAAAAACCTAATGTAAAAGGGGGGGGAGGCCTGGGATGAGTAAATTATATCACTTATATAACTAGTGATAGGGTAGAGAATAAGTAAAATGCAAAGAACTTGTCCTCTAGAGAATGACACATTTGCATGTGTATTTTGAGCTGCGGTGGCTCAAGTGGTTAAGACGCTGAAATTCAGGCTGTGGAAGGTCGGTAGTTCAGCAGTTCGAGACCCGGGTGCTGCATGACGGAGTGAGCTCCCGTCTCTAGTTCCAGCTCCTGCCAACTTAGCAGTTTGAAAGCAAGAAATTGCAAGTAGATAAATAGGTACCACTTCGGTGGGAAGGTAACAGCGTTCCATGCGCCTTGGTGTTTAGTCATGCCGGCCACATGACCACGGAAACGTCTTCGGACAGCGCTGGCTTTTCGGCTTTGAAACGGAGATGAGCACCGCAACCCTAGAGTCGGATTCGACTGACTTTTGAGCAAGGGAACCTTTACCTTTGAGCAGTTGTATACAAACTGTTTGTCAGGAGGTCGAAGCCGATCCCCTCCTGATTCCTCAGGAAACCCGCCAACCCACCCGGGAGCCCGAGGCATGCCGCGGATGACGCCGACAGCCGGGAAGAAGGCAGTGGGGTCTCTGCGAGCCTGGCTGAGAGTGGGTCCCGGGAATGCTGACATTCCGGCGACAATCGCCAGGAGAGTCCCTGCGGCGATTCACCGAAGGGCCCGGGATCCTTCCCTGTCCCTTTTCCAGGGGTGTCTGGCAGCAAAGGGGGTAGGGCGGGGCCGGAGTGCTAGTTGGCCCGCAAAGCAGGGGCCTTACCAGGAGAGTGAAGGGTGGGGGAAGACCACCGTGGGACCCAAACCCGTCAGTTGCAGGGGTCGTTTCGTAGAAAAAGAGCTAGGGGAACTCATTAGCATAACTCATTAGCATATGCCACACACCCTGACATCACCGGAAGTGTGTCATATGGCCACACACCCTGACATCACCAGAAGTGTTTCATAAGGCCACACACCCCGCCCCCAACGGTCCTGGTTGTAATACCTTGGTTAGGTTGCTTTAAGGCGTGGGCGGCAGGACGAGCAGGTGGTGGAGGAAAGCAATAAAGAGTGGAAATGGGAGACGCCAAGGAGGAGAAACCAGAACCCGAGAGCCCCATCCACTCGTGCGCTTCTATTTGGGGGATGGACATCGCAGGGAAGGCGAAGTAACCTCCCAGGCGAGTTCTGAGGCGATGCCCAAACTCTGAGACGCTCTGCTTCGTCCTGGATTTGTCCCCCCCCCCCAACCAGGGACTGACACTGTTTTAATATAAAAATGACCTGATAACATAATAGGAAATTTGACTATAGAATCAAACTCCTGATTTTAACCTCCACCAGTGGTCTCCAATCTTTTTGGTATGGTTACCTATGTCCAAATTTTATGGGAACCCACTGGAAAACAAACAGCACATTCACCAATCATTAAAATTAAAATTGCAAGAGTCTGGGCCTCACTTTCACCAGCTTTGTAGTCCACTTTGCGAAACACTGACCTAGACCCTATTAGATTTGGAGAAACATGGACACTGCCAACTTTGTAGTGCCATTCCACAACTAAATATAGGTAAGTGGCAATAACTAAGCATATGATGGAGAAGAAATAGGTATGTAATTCTCGTTTATAATGACTAATTTTTCATTTTATTCTCTTAGAAGTAAAAGTTCAAAAGCTTTCCTCTGAAGTTATTTTGTGTATTGAGCATCACGTTTGGAATAATTAATCTTTTACAGCATAATACATCATAAAAGAACAGTTTAGGAATGGAATATATGGCAAGATGGCAGATACCTACTCTAATGTGCTAAATGGTCTAGTTATCCTGTAATAATCTTAAGAGTACAAAGGCGGCATCTTGTGTATATAGTGAAAAACTTAGTTAAGCACCCTAGTGTTTTCCTCTCAAACAGCAGAACTGGAAGCGAACAGAGAGCTATTGTGTACAAGTCTGTATCCCAAATCTCCCATCAACAGCTACCCCACAATTAAAGTCACAGAATACGGTGCTCCAGGATCACAGAACTGGGATTACTGCGTTTAAGGAACACTACAGAACAAAGACAGCAGGTTTCCCTTAACAGTGAAAAAAACCGTTGTAGAAATTGCCATTGATAATATCCTCAGTGTTTTGTTCATTCAAACGCCAACCCAGTGCAGAGTAGAAGCTTTCGAGAAGGAGGTGAAAGAGGGGCTCTGGGAGGACGGTGGGTTGCGGCTCAACATCGATGTCCAGTGGAATCATTTGCGGAGCTGAAAGCAAAATTTAGACTGAAGTAACTCTGCTCGACTGGACTCAGACCTCCTCTTCGCTTTGGGATACCGACCGGTTCCGTAACATGCATCTATTTTACTAGGAACCCACCTCGCTTGCAGTTTCTGGAGGAGACAACGGGCGACGGACCGCTTCCGGCCGTGAGTGCCGGTTCCGGTTGATGGTTACTGCAAGCCGACCGGTGACTACCATGGTCGCCAAGCGCAAAAGCCCGCCTGAGGCCAAACGGCAGGAGCAGCCGCCGCAGCCCAAGCGGGCCCGCAAGACCGAGGCAGCGGACTTCTCCGGCGCCCAGTTCAAGTCCATGTTGCGCGAGCCCAGCACCGCTATGAAGGGTGAGAGAGCGCGAAGGCGCTGTTGGGGTTTCCACGTGCTTCCTAGACAACGACTCCTGGCTCCTTTGCATTTCTTCCTCCCACAGCCCCTTCTTCGGCCCCCACTTAAAAGGCTGGCCCAGGCAACACCTAGGTAGTAGTATCTCAGGTGCCCAGTGAGGTAATATTCCAGGACTTGCGTAGTTGAGGATCCTCACCTATGTTCACAAGTTACAAAGAACACATGTACAATCTGTGTACAGTGTATGCTTGATTTTTTATGTGCGTGCTGAGTAATTCTCATATTACATTCAACGCATAAACAGCTGAATGTTATTGAAACCTTACATTTATCCAGGTTCGGGTCCCTGGTTCCTCATTAATGAACTTAATCCATCCTGTCATACTCCCAATCAGGATAGTTTAAGAGATTTGAGAGTCACCAGGAATCCTGCCTTCATGGCCAATGATGAACCTTTCATACACCCTGGGGCAGTTATTCCAACTGCTTTTTATTGTAAATTTCATGCAGTAATGTGTATGCTCTATATGGATTGTACATGCATTCACTGTAATTTGTGAACAGTATTCCAGAGAAAGCAGAGAAGATTTTCTCTATATTGGTACTTCTGCATTGTTGGAGCGCACTGTTCTACATTATTTCCTGCTCATATGAGATAGTTGCTAGTCTATACTTGTGTGTTTTATGCTTGTCACTTTTCCCATGCATCAGTGGGAGCAGTGAGGGGTCTAGTGGACAAGTGTTAAACCTTGAAGTTTCAAATCCTACCTCAGCCATAGATGAGCAAGGAGGTTTGTAAACTAGGATTTTGCAGTGTTCATCAATAAGCAAACAAGGCTTGCTTGTAGGCCTAAGTAACTGTTTTGTTAACCATAGTTGGTTACAGTGAGGAATGAAATAACACACTTTCAATAAAGAAAAAAAAGATATCTTTGTTTTATTCCAGGTTTGGAAACATTCATATCCATAGCTAAATTGTTACCATCAGCAGAACAATGTGATGTTGTGGAAGGATACATAAAAATTTCTGTTGAGTGTGCAGAAATTTTAAAACTTCTAGATGGTGAAAGGAGGCCAGAAAGTGAGGTAAGTATTTCACTTAGTGCAGCTGGACTTGTACAATAGAAAGTGTATTAGTAGTGTATGATTTGCAGTATAAGGACAACAAACGGGAATAAAAAATTAATCTGGTACCTGGAGATGGTTAAAATAACATTAAACATTTGTCAAATTTATGGGGCTCATTTGTGAAAATTCTCTACACATGTGATCCTTCACAAAGCCTGTAAAAACAGGTCATTAATTTGCACGATCAGTGGAATCTATGCAGTTGCTATCCATGGTTTTATCCTGCCTTCCTTTGAGGTTGCATTTTTCCAGCTGTGGATGTGCTGTATCTGGGACAGTGTGATTCTTCCCCATATGCCACAACTGTTGCTATTGGGATTGCTGGTTGAGATCTGGTTCCCTCTTCCTCACAAATTGTGTGTGCCTGTACCATTTTTTTTTTAGAGTGAACCAGATCTGCATACTCAGAAGTAATCTGTGCAGCCTGTCCACTCATCCAAAGCTTAAAAAACAACAACAAAAATTCAAGGAGCAGAAAGGCCACTCTTATAGCTTGATCAGCTATTTTATGAAATGTAATTTTAAGCATTATGATGGGTTACATTCCAAGGTGTGCCTATGTGAACGAAGAGTACTTCCACTGGTTTGGATCGAATCTCTTGCCGTTTTCACAGGTCTCCCACTTTACTTTCACTCTGCACTATTTTCAAGGGTCCTTCGACACTCAGGAACAGTTTTTGGGGTGTTGCAGAGAGCTGCTGAAGAAGGGAAGAAGTAGGACAGTTCTGTTCCCTGAACAGAATTCACACCCATGTTTTAATTTTCTTTCTAGTTGTGAAGCCCCTGTACCAAGTCTGGCTGCAGCACCTCCCCCCCCTTTTAAAGGTTGCATATAGCAGCTTTGCTGTCTTGTTCCCCAGGATGGGATATTGTGTTAGTAGCCCTGAGAGTACGGCACTTCATACAAGTGCATTCAGTCAGAGCTTTCCTCTGTAAACCGCTTTGCCCTGAGTTGTAGCTCTCTGCATGTGGGAGAGCTGTGAAAGGGGGAGAGACCACCCCCAATGGTAGAGGATTCCTACACTATCATCTTAATGAGAGTTACAGTCTTCTAAGTGTAGTGAAGTCAATGGTCTTAGAACGGTGTAACTTCATTTAGGATGTCACTGCTGTGACCTGCTGCTGGAGGAAAGGATGCGGTGGAGGGTGTGATCTTCACCAAAATGTGTTGAGAGTACACTTCATTAAACTGCCTGCTTGCTATCAAAATATTTTTTTACAAAATTACCAGTTTCCCTGCAATTGTGGTTTTTAAGTCTACTTTAACTTCTACTTCAGTGTGAAATGGTACGCAAAACTCAGGTCCAGCACTGGGATTTAGTGTGGTTGCAGTCTAGAGCTGTTGTCCCAAAATAGCACACCACAGCACTGGAGGTTTGGTCAGTTCTGACAGTATGAGAATAGAAGCTGGGCCTTCCCGTCTTTAATGTTCCAAGTTGACAATTATAGGAAACAATCAAAGCATATTTTGGACCTTTCTTTCTAGGTCCTTTCTTTCTTTATTTCTTTCTAGCTTTCTAAGAGTTCATGGCTCCTCAAGTCACTTAAGCATCATTTGGTGTTTTTTCTGTTTTTATCTTGAAAATATTTGTATATTGCAGATGCTGCTCATCTTTCAAGCTCTGGAAAGCATTCTGCTGCGAACAGCAAGTGATCTTTTCCATTTTCATGTTGTTGGGATGAACATCGTAAAGAAGCTGATCAACAGCTATATGAAATTAATTTATGCTGCTCTATATTCTGAAAATCATAGGTAGGTTAATTGTCAAACACCACAACCCATAGTTGTTCATCTGAGAACAGCTTGCCTGCATCCCAGTGAATCAGATGCAAAGGATCAGATTCAGATATTCCATTCTCCTAGTGGTGCAGTCTTTCACTGGCTAATCATGCCTTGTGTCAGAGGAACGCTCCACCATTACCAGAACAAAACCCTTGTGTACTACCCAAAGTTCCAGCAGATTTGATTTTTAGTTGAGACTTTTCCTATTCTATTGCCACTTAATTTTTCCTTTCAGGTATATTTATTTGTTTATTAAATACATAAGCCACCAACATAGATTAAAAAAGCCTTCAAGGTAGCATTTTGCTAAAAAAAAGTAGCATTTTGCTGGTGCTTCAGAGACCACTGTTACACAGGCACAGTACAATTTTTGTTTCTCTGTATTTTTCATCTCCTTATACTATAGTACTATAGTATTGGAGAGATCGCCTAGCACATGTACCTTAAAGTGATAGTTGTATCAAAAATGTAGCTTGGTTTCTCGGGCAAAAAAAGACATTTTGTTGCTTGAAAAAGAAAATTCTCACCCACATAATTATAGAAATATCACTATTTCTATCACTAGAAATATCACTACTGCTAAAATACATAACTGGAAACTTGCTACTTTTTCATGGAACACTAAAATCTGGTGTTTAGAGTAGGCCACCTCACCCTGCCTAATGATAGGGCCAGTGCTAAGACCAAAACGTAATGGTGTTTAGCCTTCAAGAGTTGTTTAAATACATGGTCTATGATTTTTAGTTCTGTAGTACTGAAAACATGGGTTTGTTTCTTTGTAAGTTTGTGATACTTATGGGGGAAAAGATGGTGACAGTTGCCTATCAGTGTCAATCATTGGCCTTGATCCAGAAGGCCACTGTTGTGGAATGGGCTTTGTTCCTGACTTTCTTGACCCTTAGTCTTCGTACTGCATTGCAAGCACCTTTTAACATGTCTCTTGCAGTACAGCTCAGGAGCCTATAGACTGAGAAAGTAGGATAAGTATGCATGAAAAAGAACTATTTTCTCCAGAAGTTGGTGGCCGAAATTCTTGAAAATGTGCAAGATTCCTATACTTACCTACAAAACTATTTTTTGTTTTGCTGTTGTGGAAGTACAATTTTTTTGATGTATGGTATTTTTAGTACAAATGCTGACGTATTTATAAACATTTAAGAATAGTTGTCACTATTCTTGTTGTTACTAGTTGTTACTATTGTTGTTATTAGTGTGTAGTTTCTTTTTTTGCTAACACTGTGGGTGTGTTGGTCTGTATGAAAATATAGAAACCTTGCTGCAATTATGCTTTATTGAAAACATCTTACAGCTCTAGTTCACGCCAACCTGTTTACATTAAAGAGTTTGATGTCCCTAGACAATTATCCTTATCCAAGTTCATGCTCTACCTTGATATGGAGAGTAGAAATCACATTTCATGTAACTTGGCAGGAAGTTTTAGAAATGGGTTAATAATATTGCTAAGTATTTTTAGAGTATTCTAATCGCTTTACATTCATTTATCCTGGTAATCCTCAGAAGAAAGGTACTATCCCATTTTTGCAAACGGAGGGGTGAGTCTGAAAGAGTATGGCTTGTTTAAGGCTATCTGGGAAGTACGTGCCCCAAAGGGTATAGAATTGGGCTACTTGTCACTACAGTTGCTTTTAGGCACATCATGATTAAGGTTCTCCACTTGTGGAATGTTTTGATTGAGAATCAGATTATGTAATATTAAGAAAGTAACAGCGGCTAAACTTCTGTCTGTATTAAAGTAAGTGTGGATCTCCTGTTTGCAGTTTAAAGTAGTTATGCTTGTTAGAGACTTTCTTTTATTCCTTATTCATTTTAGCCTTTTATAGATGAGAAAGCCAAATAAGTTGCTTATGTTTCGACTGACAATGAATGCTGCTAAGTGTCTACTGCCTTATTGACATAGCTGCAGCCTGCATCACTTTTATTTCAAAGATATCAGTTCTTAATTTTTTCCCCACTGGTTTGTTTGCCAGTGTATCATTTAAATAGCACCCTCTCTCTCATTTTATTCATGCAGAATGTCTCGTCTGTGCCTCACCTTGCTATCATCAATGGTGACACAGGGGCCAGATGCTGCAAGGGATGTCTACAGCCACTTTGATTTTAATAATAAGTTCTTGTCTGGGTTAGTAAAAAAGAGAGATTATAAGGTAAGAGGAAACATATACAGTGAGTGAATAGTGATGGCTCAACAATGTTGATTCTCCATAGCTTTCAGAATACTGTTTCTTTGGTGTTGCTGCTTCCATCCTTGCATTAGAGTGTTTCTTGTACATATGGACCAGAGGCCATTGTCAGCCTCTCCTTGATTTTCCTGTAATGATGATAATTGTTGGAAAAATCTTTGGAAGTTGCATGTTTGGAGACAATGATCATGCTTCCTTTTGCTAGTATAACTGTGCTACCTTCACAGTTGCTTCTTTGCATGTCCACTCTCAGGGTTTATGTTCCATGTATATTGACTTAATGGATAAGTCAGTGGTACTCATTTTGTGACTCTTGGGGAGCCACATTTGCAATTACAATCAATCAAAAGAGCCACATTTCATCCCTAACTTGAGACCTGTAACCTCAAGGAGACTCCCGCAAACCCTGCTGGGCCCCATGGGCTTGCTCAGCTTTCTGAAATGTGGGTCAGCTTCCATTTTGGTGGACAGAGCTCATAAGAGCCACAAGTGGCTCCCAAGCCACTGACTGAGTATCACTTGGGTAAGCGATGTCTTGCATTTTATGTAACATGCAACAAAGACATAAGTGTCTTTGTATATATGCTCAGACTGACCACAATGGAGGCAGCATAACTAGTTAATATTCATGTAAAGGGGGATCTGTCGTAAAACAGGGGAGGTAACCCACCTGAGCTAATATATGGTAAGTATAAAAATAGTTTTCATTGTTAATAGACAATGAATTGTCTGCTTAAATCTGTAAACCCATTCTTTTATATGCATTTCACATTTCTGTTTGCACTAACAAATTGGCATTTGCCTAACATATATTCTGAATGTCTCTTAACATTTATCTAGGGCAAGCCCGATATCCGTATGGCATACATACAGTATGCTCTCTCCTTCTTAATTACTGGTGATGACATGACCCTTGGACACATTCTCGAGTTAAAAGGTATTTGACAAGGTTTTTTTCCCTTAAAGGCCTAAATCATTATTTCTTTTATTAAAGTGGGATGCCCGTATTTGGAAGAAGGGTAAGGTAGTATTAGGTAATCCTGCCCTAGGGGAGGGGAACCACAAGTGGTCAAAAAAAGCACCCACCTATTGTCAGGACCCACAGCAAAACAACGAAGTACACGCTTCCAAGAAGGTTTTACTTTTATTGAAAAGCCATAGATGCAGTAACATGAACACTGTTAGGAATGGCGGGCTATTCATGTGCATAATAGGATATAGGGCATTCGTATGCGCCCTCCCCTAGTAACACCCAATTAGATGGGCTCCCGCGCACGGGATTCAGGAAAGTTTCTAACGGTAGCAAAAGCTGGGAACCAGAACGATCCCACGGAAGGTAGACACCACACTCCTCCAGTACCTCTTTACAGATAAGCGTTGCAGCTGGTAAGCAATTAAGCGCATAGAAAGGAATGCAAAACAATCAGAACGTCTCTCCCTACTCATGGCAGCTTAGCTGACACCTATCTCCTTTCCCTGTGCTGTAGGGCTGGCAGCTTGACGCCACCACTGATCCACTTCAGCACGAATGGAGAGGGCAAAGGGCTCTTTAACCTTTTCCTTCCAGTGTGAACAGTACCAGAAACATCAGCAGCGAGATTCTCATGCCCATTAGCTTGAGCTTTATCCCATGCATTGGAGTCAGCAGCTGAGAAGCCTCTGTCACTGTTCATTGGAGGGGAGTGCAGGGTATGAAGAACCCTTGTGTCTTGTAATTTGTAATTTAAGGCCTGGTTAAAACATGACACTGACTCTTATTAGAAGTACTCATCCAAAGGGACTTTACATGCACAAGGTCTCACTGAAGCTCTTATTTGTGCAAAGCAGTTATGCAAAGTCCCATGGGTGAATCATGTAGCCTCAGCTGATACTGCATTAAAATTGGAAGTTGTGTAATGTTACTACTATCTCAATGGGAGAGCCCTTTGTCTTAGCTAACTCCGGGTAAAGTGACTCAGTGCATAAATGGGCCACAATGGAATGGGGGCCAAACTGCAGGCCAGATAGGAGGCAGATTGAGCTTCCAAACTGCCAGTTTTGTGTATTCGTATTATATTTGTGTCATAAAAAGTAAGTTCCTAATATCAGCCAACCTTTATGTATGAATTGAAAAGGAATACAGACTCGAGAATCTAATCTAAAAGCATAAGCTAAATGCTGCATGCTTTTTAAACAATAAATATTCAAATATCAAGTCTAAGTGTCTTTTTTTGTTTTGTTTTCGTATTTTGAAATATTCTTAAGTATTCTAATAGAGTTTGACACTATTCCTTACATGTTTTTGAAGCTTTGTTGCTCCTTGGAAGTGTAAAGCACTTTTGATATTTAACGATAAGCTACAATATAGAATTATCAAAGGAAAACTGTATGAACTGTAGTCTCTGATGAAGAAATGAAACCCCTAAGACTACCTGGGATCTGCTTTAGTAGTAGTTCAGTTTAGAGAGCTTAAGGATTGCTACACCTATGTGGACATATTGTGGAGTTCTAAGCCTTGCCAAGCTCATTTTATCACTTAATGGGTTACTCTTAAAAATATTGGTCCAGTTCAGGGTCTATATCTTTATTGATGAAATGATTTTTTTCATTGCATATTCATGAAACAATAGAAAATTGGATATTAGAATACTTATGAATATTTCATAATACAAAAACAAAAAAATACTTAGACTTGATATCTGAATATTTATTGTTTAAAAAGCATACAGCATTTAGCTTAGGCTATTAGATTAGACCCTTTACATATGTTCACTGTTTATTCTGGGCATTGGCACTTACAATGTAACACATACTTTTTTTATGCACCAGTAACATTGATTTCATTTTTCAAAATACTTTCTGTCTTCCAGTTATAGTTCGTAATGTTTTATATTGTTTTGTAGATTTCATTCCCGATATTTTTAGAACTGGATTGAAGGAAGATAGAATTTCTACAATTAGCCTTCTACTTTCCACATTGACAGCGAAGGTATTATCTTTGAAATGGCTTTGTCCTCCAACTTTGTCTTTGATTTCTGAAAATAGCTTTGCTGTGATTTTCCAAAGAATCTCCTGTTACTAGCTGCAATGCTTGGCTGCAGTTTAGGTTTATCATTGTTTCTGTTATGGACTCTTTGTTGGATCATAAAGCACTCTAAGAGCTGGAACCTATAATTAAAAAATGCTTACATTCACTTTCTAGGCAACCAGAACACTGATACTGCAGATCAGTAAGGAAACTGTGAATACTTTATACACATGCAAACATGCTTTGTAAGATGGCTTTAAATCTAGTTAGCTGTGATGTAGGCCTTCCAAATAAATTGGAATAACATCTTTTTCTTATGACTTTTGTCAAGTGAGGTACTGTTTTTGGGGTGGGGGGCATGGGCTGTAGCTCAGTGCTGGAACATCTGCTTTGCATGCAGGATGTTCAAACTCCAGCATCTCCAGTTTAAGATCCTTTGGATTCTCTTCCAAAAAGTATCTGATTAATGTGAGTCTTGCTGAAATCATATTTAATAACAGAAATCACTTTGAGCTTGTGTTCTGGCCTCCGTCATGCTGTGGGAACTAGCTCCAGTGTGTAATTTCTGGTTGGAAAGTGTTCTGTCCTGCTGTGTCATATGAAAGAAACAAGAACAGAAGAAGAAGAAAGTGAGAATGTTTTTGTGTTACACTTGAAATTGTGGGAACTTTGTTGTGTTATTTGTAGGTGGTTCACAACAGAAGTATCAGTAAGACCCAGAAGGTGCGCTTTTTTACTGTAGATGCGTTGAGCCACATTGCTTCACTCTATTGCTGGAATGGCATCACTGATGTCAGCACTGAAGATGTTAAGGTATATCTGTTCTATTGCCTCTAGAAAGAAAGACATGGCCCTGTGATGAAATGATTTTGTATAGGGTAAGGAGTAATTGTATTTAAGGCTGGTTTTGGTGCATATGTATTGGGGTGGAGACAGTAGGCAGATATGTCCAGTGTAAGCATTGGCCCATATTGTTTAGAGATAGAAATGCCAGGGGGATTTATTCTGTCCTTTCTCCTCTCTGATTGTGATCAGAATGTGTTTTTATTCTCTCTGTACACGCTGGGGCAGTAACTATGGCTGCGTTCAGACTGGCCATATGAAGCGCTAGGGAGTCATGGCAAAAAAAACCCGGAACAGACCCAGAACAGCTTGGTAAAGTTGGTTGCGGTATTCCCATTCTCACCGCAGCGAACGAAGTGGGAGGATACCATGGAGGAAGCGCAAGGGAACGTCCGCACTGTTGGGCCGCCCTGGCGAGCTGCTAGCGGCTGTTTCCACACTGGGCTGCATGGGCGCAGCCAATAGGGCAAGATCACGCAGGCCCCGACAGCGCCTGCCCGCGGAAACAGCCGGTGCCTATTATTAATGACTGTGGGTTGTTCCCGCCTTAGCAGCGCTTACATTCACACTCAGGGAACTGGAATCAACCTGCTCTACACACAGTTTGCTACCACTTTCACCTGGTATCTTTTAAACTCGGGAGGGAAGTGGCACAAGACAGCTTGAGTATGGCTGAGGGACGTTGGACAGATGTGCCTGTGTGAACCCGCCCCTTTAATCCGCTACTGAACCGCTACTGAAACGTTTGGCTGCCAGGCCAAACTACCAGTCTGAACTCGGCCTAGGTTTATAATCTACTGCATTCTTTTAAGTCCTCTCTTGTCTTATTAAACAGCAGGGACACATGCTGATCATTGAAACTGCTGTACTTAAAAAAAAAAGCAAAAAACAGTTATACCTTAATCCAACCCCCCGTCCCCATTCTTTCTGTTTTTTGCAGGCTACCCAGGACCCTGAAGAGGCAGGGAAGATTATAGTAAGGGAATTGGTTCATAACTTTTTAATGGACCTCTGTTGTTCTCTGAAACATGGCATTAACTTCTATGATCCAAGTCTTGGCACAGCAGGCAGGTAAAGTATTCAAGTTGTGCAGGTGCTTACGATATTTAGGCTAGAGGTTAATCGTTTGATTCTGAACTGAAGTACCTTCTTCAGCCTTGTCTGATGTATTGTGGGCTGGAATAGTGGCCCCACCTGGTAGCTTTCACGTAAAGCTAAGTGGGTGTGGGTAAGAGTGAGACTTCCGTATCCCAGCCTCACTCAGAGGCACAACTTTTAAGGCTGGCCAGGGTCCCATACACTGCATTCACTACTGCACTTCTGCACTGGGCTTGGCAGCACATGGGGGTTCTGGCAGCTTCCTGGCTGTTGTCCCATGCTTTGCTTTGTTCCCTCAGCTTCTTGGCAAGTACTTAACAGAGTGTGGTCAGTGTGGCCTGCATAGAAAACTGAATGACATTTTTCTGTGGATTCCAGGTTCTTGTTTTGATTTAAGGAGGATAGATTTTCAAGAATGTGTTTTCCATGATGGACAATAATTGCTGTTATTGAGTGTGAAGCTGGCTCTGAAGCTTCAGTAGTATGTATGCAGGCAGTAGTCCTTTGAGGGAGAATCGTTTACCATTTCACCTTAAGAATGTTCTTGTGGAAAAATGCTTAAAGGAGATGGAGGTGGAAAGGTAAACAAGGTTAAGCCCAAACATTTTGTGTCAGAAGTCAGAGGATCACAGAATCTCTTGGGTTGGATCACAGAATCTCTTGGGCTCATAACTAATTTTAGCCATACCTGGGTTATCAGTCATCTCTTCTAGGTCTAGTTCTCTGCTAATGTTCTGCTAATTTCTAAATGCCAATCATTCTTTCTTGCAAATGAAAATACATATCTGTCAATGTATTTGTTTGAATTTCATTCAGATTTTAGTGATTAATTTCAGTGGCTTATGAGATTGTTAAAGTATGTCAAATTGTGTATGTCAAATTGTGTAAAAAGGCTTGTTTGTAATGGAAGTGACTCTACAATGTCCTGCTGTTATGAACATAAAACTGGGCCCACAGTAATCTGATCAAAATCTTCATTCAGAGTGGCAAGCTAAGAATCTGCCACAGGAAGTGGTGGTGGCTACAAGCATGGACGGCTTCAAAAGGGAATTAGATAAGCATATGGAGCAGAGGTCCATCAGTGACTATTAGCCACAAGGTATAGATAGGGGCTCTGGGGGAAGTGATGCTCTGTCATCTTGGTGCTTGGGGGGGGGGGTCAACAGTGGGATGGCTTCTAATGTCCTGGCCCCACTGGTGGACCTCCTGATGGCACCTGGTATTTCTGGCCACTGTGTGATACAGAGTGTTGGACTGGATGGGCCTTTGGCCTGATCCAACATTGGCATCTCTTATGTTCTTATGTTAATTCAATCCCTTATTTCTAATACTGCTTTTTTCTGCTTTTGAATGGCCCATGGGCCATAATGAAGACTGACTGACTGACTGATACTGTTAGCATTTGTGTTATGACTGTAATTTGACAGATGTCACCATGATGGCCCCCCCCCATCTGTCTTTATTAGAGGAGGAAATTTGGTGCTTCTGCGCTTTCTCCTGCGTTTAAAGACTGCTGTGGAAGATGAGATGGTTGCTGACCTTATGGTGAACATTTTCAAAGTATGCCCAGATTTACTGAACAGATTCTTTAAGGAATCTCAGTATTCTTTTGTTCCCAGACTGAAATCAGCTTGGCTGGACAATATGAAATTGTTAAGGAAGGTAAGAACTGTACAAAATGTTTACAAATTTCTGCTTCATTAAGATCATGATAATGTATTGAAAGGGCTCCCCAGGTGAACATTTTGTATTTTTGGTGAATAGTAAATGAGTTTGCCTTTGTTCAAGGCTTGTTCATTATTTATTGGAGATTAATCTCAAACTAGCAAGATTCATGGGCTCTTGTGCACTCTTTCAGTGTGTCCGCCCCTCCCCCCCGGTCACAGCCGACTTACGGTGACCCCATAGGGTTTTCACGGCAAAAAATGCTCAGAGGTGGTTTGCCATTGCCTGCCTCTGGGTTATAACCCTGGTATTTCTTGGAGGTCTCTCATCCAAATACTAGCCAGGGCTGATCCTGCTTAGCTTCCAGGATCTGACAAGATTTGGGCTAGCCTGAGCTATCCAAGTCAGGGCACTATAGAAAAGAAATAGTGTCTGATCCATGCTGTACTGTATTTATTTGAATTAGGTGTCTCCCTCAGACAGAAATACTCTATCTCTGAAAACAATTGCATTACAATGTCTACTTCTGTTAGGCTTTGGAGAGAGAAGACGCAAAGCAATTATGCCTGTGACCATCGGAAACCCTAGCAATGTCTCATTTAATAATGAAAGCTACTGAATTTTGGATTTGATATGTTCTGTGCTTTTACATTGCTTACGTAGAATACACACATACAGAGTAAAAGGCATTTCATGCTCTTGACCCTTTTCTGTAAATAAACTGCTGTTATCTGCACTGGGTTCTTCAGAATGAATGCATTAACTGGAGACAGAATATGACTGCTATACTTTTTTATTGTGTTTATTGAATTCCTGCAACACTGCCAGAGCTCTATAGAAGTGTCCGATTCCCCATGCATTTGAATAAATCCACGTTTGAAGAACAAAGTAGAGTTTATTATAAAGCGATGATTAGATCAGAACACAAGCATTGTTAGGAATAACTACAAGACTCATAGGGAAACAAGACTCATAAGGAACTTTGAACCAGGTTAGGACCAATGAGTCCAATTCCCGCTGGTGGGAAGGCAGATAAAACAAGCGCCCAATTCCTTGGGAACACAACGGTTCTGCAACATAAACACAAGTTCAGTTCTCAGGCATGAGATACATAATAAGCTAAGCAACGCCATAACTCTATCCCACCTCCAGCTGGTTGACCTTGAGCAGTTCCGCAGATGTAGCAAGCAAAAGACAGTAAACACCTACACAGGGAAAACACAGGGGGGATGGACAGGGCACAATGTAACATACAGAAAAGAACACCTTATGGCAGCTTGCTGACAAGAGGCTGCTAAAGAGACAGCTGTGGGACTTGGCTCTTGACAGAAGTTTCCAGAGCTGATACATATTTAGTGCTAGAAATTTGAAGGAAAATGTTCTAAAGAAAGTAATCAAATTTCAACCTAAGTCGAATCCAACTAATTGAGTTGGATTGACATTAATGCATATGCTTTATTCCTTATACCTCACTTTGGATGCTTGCAGAAGGGTGATTCAGAAAGGTAACTAACAAATAAATGTGTTTTGGGGTTTTTAAAAGGGAACAGTGAACATTAAATTAATTTTATTAAGAGACTGAGTTTGACGTTGGAGAAATTATGTAACAGTGGCTGAATTAGGAACTCTCCAAAATTATGAGTAGCTTTTATATCAATAAAGATTCGAGTATTTTAAACAGGAAGAATGTAAAAGTTGTCATTCTTAACACAATACATACTGTAGAAAAGAAAGAAGAAAGCTAACTGCTGAAGATAAGGGACTTTAATTTAATGATACTACTCATTTAACCTACAAACCTTGAGTTGCTTTGACAGCTCATATGCTAAAACTGGAACCATAGAGCGAAGATTAGCATGAAAATGAGAGACAGAGAATGGCATCCTTTAAAAAAAAACCTTGTAAAACTTCCATGAATATGAACTTTTTAGCCTGGAAAAAAATACAGATAGAAAGTAAAAACAAAGGCATTTGAAAAGGTGGTAAATATTTAGCTGGTCTGGGGAAAAAGTAGACGATTTAGGGAAAAGATTCCGCCAACAGTAGGCTTATGGAGTCATAAAAGGTCTCTGGAGAATTATCTATTCTTCCTGTGTGTTTCTTGGTTAAAGCATTTTAGCAGTGTGTACTGTTCATTGCTACATGAATAACAGGCTTTTTAGACTTGGTCTACAACATTCCTTTTCAAACTTATATGTCATTAATCTGACTCCACAATATATCATGCTCCCCTAAAAATACATTACAAATCGTTAAAAAGAAGATGAGAGACCATAAAATATAAAACTATAAAATAGCAAAAATGTCGAAGATGTCATTGGGGGTGGGGAATTTGCTGGTTTGAAAAAATTGCTGTGTAGTTAGCAATATTCCTGAGTTTCACACAAAACTGGAAACGAAACTAATGAGTGGCTTGCAGTGTATGTATGCTGTTACTTTAGGTGGCCAATCCTTTTTGTTGTCATAGCTGCTGGAAGCTGAGGGAAAGTTTTTAACTACAACCAACCACAAATGGCATTCTGCCCTAATGAAGTGAGGCTGTGTTATTTAGCTGTACCCTATGTACAAATCCATTCAAAACAAGGAGTGAACATGCCCATGGGTGTTGGAATTGGGAAGATTTCATTAGTGGTTCTTCCTTGGCTGCCCAGCTGTTTTGCCTAGCACAGTTGGTGCCCTATGGAGAATTTCTGCCCACCATGCAGCAGTGCTGATTTTTACTCTGACACAGGGGCCAGGGCAGCCTTCCACTGCCAGATCAAGGGGAAGCGGGCCTCTTAGGAGCCTGGCATTGGATACTGTGCTCACTGCTGTTTTACAGAGCTGTTGGCTTAGTGTTGTTTAATAATGGTTTAAAGGCCATACTTGGATTCTTATAATTCTGTTGGCCAAATTCCAATTTTAATGGAGAGTGATAACATCGGCTACCTGTTTTTAAATTTCAAATAATCTTTCTCCTCTGTGAAATTGGACATTCTGGACTTTTTATTAATGTCTTTTAGATAATACTCCCTTTGTATTAGTTCTGTTGGATTGGAGTGCCACAGAATTATATTTGTACCATCTAAGAACATGTTTTGTTTAATTTCAGATCTATGAGGCTCAGCCAGAGGTTTCCAACTGTTTTAAAACTGCAGAGTTTATTCCACTTCCGAAGTTGCTTTCCATGGTGATGGTGACAACCATTCCAGCAGTATGCAATAAAGCAATGTTCACCCAGGGATTAAATGTAAGAGTTTTTATCATTTGAATGTGTATAGGGAGGAGGGTTCTTCTGGAAACAGCAAGGGAACTGGTGTAGCATAGGGGCTACAAGAATGACTACCAGTGCAACCTAAAACAGAGTTAATATCCTTCTAAACCTATTGACTTCAATAGGCTTGGAAGGATATATATCTACTTAGGACTGCACCCCTCCAGACATGGGTATAGCACACCTGGCACTCTACCACATAGGTAACACAGGAGAATGCGGAAATGTTTTCAAACTGTGGTCCTAGGATTGGAGCAGGTGTACTTGAGGGGGGAGCAACAACAGAGAGCTGGAATGTGGAAGGGGAGGATGCTTACCCCCTGCCTTCTGAATCACTGCTGTCAGAGTCCTGCTGTCCAAAGAGTGTTAGTGACTGCTGGTGTCTCCGGGCAGTGCTAACAACTCTTTTGCCTCTGTGGAGAGCCCCAGGGCCAGGAACAGATCAGGAGAAGGAGGCTCTGAGATCCCTGGTGATGCCCTGCTATGGCCGGGCTCCAGTGGCCTGGCAGGATGGGTTTGGTGCCCGGGGGCCTGTGGCACACAGCAGGTGGAGGACTCTCTCCCCACAGCAAGCACCCTTCTGCACTTTCACCCTCACGGCACACAGAGGTGTTCGCACTCAGGAGGGGTTGGAGGGTATAAATGGGTTCCATACATGGGACTCCAGAAATGTAATCTGTCCCCAATTTGGAAAGATCATAGAGGAGTGTGCACCAGGGTGAGGTTTCCTGTGTGTTTGGTGTGTGTAGCTTTCAGGGAGCTCATTCTGTACACTTTTGAACCTGTGCCTGACATTTCCTCCTTGACCTTAGTCCTGTTGGGCTTGCAGTGCCACAGTTTCTACTGAAGGGGTGGGGGAGATGGCCACTGGCCTGATCCAACATAGCTTCTCTTATGCTCTGGGACTGGATACCTCTGTTCCAACTTCTTCTGTGTCCTATTCCCACATTCACACCTTTAGCTTAAAGGTGACTCCTGCTCCAAAGTGGAGTAGCTTTGGTCCATTTGTTGTTATATTGCTAATCTGGATAAGGAATGTGTTGTTTGTCTGTGTCAATAACAAAAATAATAATAATAATAATAATAATAATAATAATAAATTTACCCTGCCCTATTCCACAAGTGGGCTCAGAGGAGCTGAGTATTTCCTAATATTTGCTTAGGATAAGCCTCCCCACTTTTGTACCAAATGCCTTAATAAATTCCATGTATTCCTTTAAAAATATTGAAATCAGGGTTCTGTCATTCTTTAATTATTGAAAACTTGCTACATCTCTTTAGGTAAAACATCCCCGCTTTCTGCTCCCTGCACAAACACACAAACTAATTCCCCACTGTAGTCTGAACACATGTTCATGTGTTTGTGGGGGCGAGGTGTGAAAAGTGCTTTGAATGCTTGGGAGGGCTTTAGAGATGCGTATAGTCATAGTTGTTCTTGGTTCTTTCTCTTTAAAACTTAGAATTAAGTCAGGAATTGATGATATTTTTAAAGCCCTTTAGTTCAAAGTGAACTAGATTTCTCTAGCTTATTTTTTTTAAAGAATGGAAGTATTGTCATCTAGTTGCCTTAGTCATGAAGTCATGGGTTGTATTTCCACCTTTCTTTCTGACTAGTTGTGTGGCTTTGTAAGAATTGCTGTCTTGTTTGTCATTTGTCTTACTGTATATAAAATGGGATATCTGGTCCAGGTACAGGCCACTAGTGAATCTTCCAGCTACTGTCAGTTCTTTTGCACTCATGGAAGCTTGGCTTTTACATATACAGGGATCCTAGGAATGTGAGCTGGAACAATGTGTATGGGTTGGGGGAGCCTGTGTTGTGAATGGTGTTGTGGAGACTTCCGGTTTTGGTGTTCTAATGGCGGACACGTCTCTTGGGAGCTCCCGAGGACGTGATCCGTGAGCTTGCAGATGAGCGGGGGTGCGATTGTACGCACCCCCCCCAGAGCCTTTGCGAAGGGCTACTAGCCATGAGGCACTGAGGATCTCCTCTCCTCTGGCACGGAGACGGTGGATTGAGGCGTTCCGATGCCCCGATGGTCTCGCCGCTGTGTTCCAGTACTGGTCTCAGAGACGCACACCGGGACAAGTGTGTGGAAGTGGAGCATTTTACACATTTGATGGCGAGATCTACATCATCTACATTGAAAGTGAGTTTGGTTGAAATGAGAACCAGAGAAATGGCTGAAAGTCCCCCCTAAAGTAAGCGAGGGGGGGTGGGACCCCCCACGGAAATAAAAATGGACTTAAAGCATGCCTTTTAAAGGGGGGTGGAACTGAAAGCAAAATGGGACTATAGTAAGGAACTTACAAGAAAATTACAGGTAATTTGCAGACTTTAGAGACTTTTGGCAAACTTTGTTAAAGGTAAACAGCTTCAAAGATGTCACTGAAGAAGACAGAGAAAGATAAGCAAACAAAACCTAAGCTTCCTTCAGGAAGTGCTAGCCCGGCGAGTGTGGTCACGCGACCGAAACAACCATAGACTTCTCTAAGATGCTAACAGAAGCATTGTGACCCCTGCTGGAGCAAATGAAGACACTCAATCAAAATTTCGCTGCACAGCAACAGCAACTGGATGAGACTTTAAAAAAAAACACACTGAGCAAACAGCTGAGAATCTGAAAGAAGTGGATGCCAAGACCAAAAAGCTTAAAAAGCAAATGCAGGATATGGAAAAGAAGAGAAACTCGGATGAAGCTCAGCTTCTACAGCTACAAATGGAAAAGGTAAGCTTTTCACTGAGATTCCAGGGAGTTCCTGAGACTAAAGGGGAGAATCTTACAGATTTTGAATGATGCTTTGGGACCGGAGGCAGATTTTAAAGCGGATTTTCTACAAGGTGAAATGGATGTAGTCATATTCAGAATACATAAAGAAAAATAATCTGCCCGGTGAGGTGGTGGTGAGATTCTCCAGGAGACAAGTGAGGGATCAGATATTAAAAGCAACAAATGGAACTACCCTTAAAATTGATGGCAAGGAGATAAGAGTTTTGAAAGACATTCCCTTTGAACTAAGGAAAAAAAGGAAAAAATACAGAGACTTGGCTGTGTTTCTACAAAAGAACAACATATCCTACAAATGGATCGTACCCGAAGGCATACTCTTCAAATTTAAAGATAAGAGGGGAAAATTGACTCTGTTATGAAAGCAAGAGAGTTTCTGCAGCAACAATTGGATCCAACAGGAGCAGAGGATGAGAAGAGCAACAAGGGGAGTGGTGATGAAGCACTTACTGGAGAAGATTCGGATTTGGAACTTGGGGTGGCTGCCCCCAAGCAAGGATATCGATAGAGGGAAAGAAGAGTCAAATGAGATGCTAATTTTCTCTGAAGTTTGACTTTTGATTCTTATTATCTAACCGTTCTTGTGCATGGTTCTTTACTAAGTCAGAATACCTGGACTTGAATTATTTAAGCGATGTTAACAATCACTTACAATGTAACAAATTACTCTTTTTTAAAATTCAAAGCTATTTTATTGTAAGCATTATATGACCCCCACCTCTTGGGTTTTTAGTGGTTTATCTTTACTTTCTCCCGTAGTTTATAGTTTCCCCTTCCCTATTTTTCTTGTAGGTTTTAGAAAATAATTTTCTTTTGGGGAAAAAAAAAAGAATGGTGTTGTGGATAGGATAAGAATATAAGAAAAACCCTCACACAGTAGCCAGCAATGCTCCCTCTAAGCTGTGGAGTCTTGTGAGCAAACATTCTACTTTGTGAGCTACTGGCACTAAAGTTGTGAATGAACGCTTTGGCTACTGCATAAATTAGTTTTCTCTGGAGCCATCCTTCCTGGGCGAATACAAAAAGATGCGAGCCAGACTTCCGGGCTTTGGCGTTTTAAAGATGTCCGTGTCTTCTCGCAGCTCCGAGAGACACTTGCCATGAATCAGAGGATAGGAGGGGGCGCGATCGTCCACACTCCCCATGGAGCCCTTGGGCAATAGGCTCCTAGCCAGGGGAGAGCCCTTCCTTTGTACCTTGCTCAGCGCTTCCCTCTTTGCCCCAAAGGTCCTGTCCTGATTCCCAGCATTGGACTCAAAGCACACGCCGGGACAAGCGTATGAAGGTTTGGCGATTTAACTCTGCCCAGCAAGATCCCAGGGAGACCTGTTGGATTGTCCTGAAGACTGATGAGTGAGTTAAAGTTGAAGCGAGATATCGAAGCCCTGATGCAAAGCCCCCCCAATACAAGTGGGAGGGGACGCCCTACCCCCTAAATGACCTAATGAAGCGGAAACACGATGGGGAGGGACTGAGCATGCAGTGGCATGGATTATAACAGTAGTACTAGAGCAAAGAATTTTTCCAAAAAATGAGCATTTACAGCCCTCTGAGGCTTTCGCAACTTTTTTGGTAAATGTAAACATCTCCCCAAGATGGCGATTGGAGGCATTGAAGTAGGCGGGACCCAAGCTTTCCTCAGGAAGAAGGAGATCGGAAGGTTAGGTCAGGTGACCTACGGCTTAAAATCGTTTGCCCTCTGCTGGCTAAAGCGGTGTACTGGAGGGAACCGGCTCTAAATGTTGCTGTAATTTTAAACCAAGAAAGCAGCAAATCTTTGATCATAGAGGAAATTAAGAATGTATGGAGACTCTAAAGTTTAGCTTATATTGGATTGTTGCAGGCCGATTAAAAAGTGATTTTGGAGCAAAGGGCTTGGTCACCCTTATTTTATAAAATCTGCCTGCAAAGTGAACAGTCGGATTCTCCAATCAGCGCGCATCGGAAGCAACAAAAGGAAGGACTCTTATGATCTAAGACAAGCAAGAAAGCGAATGAAAGTTCTGGGGAAAGCGGTATTAATTGGACAGAGCCTGTTATATTGAAGCTGATAATGAAAGAAGATTCAACAGAGAAGGAAGAGGATAAATCTGTGTGTTTGTATGGACTGAGGGAACCTTGGCTCCACAATGTTTTATCTGTGGCGGGGGGGGGGAAGCATATAGAGAGATGTCGAAGTCTTTCAAGGTCTATATTTTTGTTAATTAGCTATGGAATTACTCTCTTTCTAGCCTGATAAGCTGGTTTTGATAACTGAAGCAATGATTGATGATACTCCTCATGTATGAAAGTGATCATTAAGAGTAACAAATATTTTTTATAAGCAGTTTGTAACCTTCAACACTTGGGCTTTTAGTGCCTGCTTTTTCTTTCACCCATAGTTTGTAGTTTTCCCTCCCCTTTTCGTTGTAGTTTTGTAGGTTTTTTTAGAAATGCAAATAAAAAAATCCCCTTCAGGGGGCCAAAAAAAGGGGGGGGGGAGTGCGAGCCAGAGGCTAAAAAACTGTGAGCTACCTCACACTAACTCAGCTTAAAAGGAACACTCCTAGACTCCATCCTAGACCCCTTCCAGTCCGGCTTTCGCCCAGGGCATGGGACGGAGACTGTATTGGTCGCCCTTACTGACGACCTCCGACGGCATCTGGATCGAGGCGGTGTGGCGGCGCTGTTGTTGTTAGATCTGTCGGCCGCATTCGATATGGTCGACCATCAGCTGCTGACCCACCGTCTCGCCGACGTGGGGATTCAGGGGCTCGCCCTTCAATGGCTTACCTCTGTTCGCCGTGGTCGGGGACAAAGGGTGGTTATAGGGGAGCAGCAGTCCCAGAGGCACCCTCTAGTGTGTGGGGTGCCTCAGGGGGCTGTTCTCTCCCCGCTATTGTTTAACATCTATATGCGCCCCCTTGCCCAGATTGCCCGGAGGTATGGGCTTGGGTGTCATCAATATGCGGATGACACCCAGCTCTATCTGATGTTGGGCGGCCGGTCGAGCTCTGTCCCTGAAGATCTGCACCGGGCATTACAGGCCGTGGCTGGTTGGCTCCGACTGAGCAGGCTGAAGTTAAACCCGGCGAAGACGGAGGTCCTGGGCCTGAGTCGCGGTGGTTTGGGGTTAGGGCTCCCTCTCCCGACCTTCGATGGGGTGCCTTTGGTGCCAGCGCCGGAGGTTAGGAGTTTGGGAGTGCTCCTGGACTCCTCGTTATCTATGGAGGCCCAGGTGGCAGCCACTGCCAAGTCAGCCTTCTACCATCTGCGGCTGGTGCGGCAGTTGGTCCCCTTCCTCGACCGCAGTGACTTGGCCACAGTGATCCATGCGACGGTCACCTTGAGGCTAGACTACTGTAACGCTCTCTACATGGGGCTGCCTTTGTCGCAAATCCGGAAGCTGCAGCTAGTGCAGAATGCTGCGGCCAGGCTGTTGATGGGTCTTCCTAGAAGGGACCACATCCAGCCTGTGCTGAAAGCGCTGCACTGGCTGCCAATAGCGTACCGGATTCGTTTCAAAGTGCTGGTTCTTACCTTTAAAGCCCTACATGGTCTGGGTCCAGCTTACCTAAGGGACCGCCTTTCCTCATATGTTCCCCCGCGAGCACTTCGGTCCGGGACCCAACATCTCCTGGCAGTGCCAGGTCCCAAAGAGGCCAGGCTGGCCGCTACCAGGGCCAGGGCTTTCTCGGTGGCGGCTCCTATCTGGTGGAACGAGCTCCCGGAGGAGATCCGGGCCCTGCGGGACCTTGTGCAGTTCCGCAGGGCCTGTAAGACGGAGCTCTTCCACCAGGCGTATGAGTAGGAGCCGCCACTACCATCATCATTATTCCATCTTCACCTGTTCAGACGATGCTGAACAGTTCAAATATGCCATCTCTGAAATTTCATGTAGAACATCTAGAGCACTTTAGTCAGTAACTTATTATGAATGTTTTTGTACTGTTGGATTTTAAATGGTTTTAATTATGTTTTATATTGGCGTTTGCCCCTATGTAAGCCGCCCTGAGCCCGCATTGCGGGGAGGGCGGGGTATAAATTGAATTAAATAATAAATAATAAATAAATAGCCAGCCAGGGTCTCTGGAGGTCTGACAAAAGGGTATTGAGGCTTAGGTTGGACTTTACTGTGAAGACTTGGTTTCATACCCACTAAACTAACTGGATGACCTCGGGTCAGTTATCATCTGCCCCCAAAATTTATTGTAAGGGAAATCCATGTATACTCCCTTGGGCTCCTTGGAGCTTGACATTCTGCAAGAGTGCTGAGTAAAAATCCTTGAAAACTCTTGAACTAAACAAGATCTGTTCTGAAGTAAATTAATATCTAAGAATTGTATTCATGTAATGACAACTGCTGTGTACCAACTATAAAAACAAAATAAATACACTGGGGCACAAAGCATGGCTTGGACATTGTCCCAGTGAGAATCTGCTAATGAATCTCCTGAAGTCCACCTAGGTACACAATTATGAGAAGAAGTAAGGGACATTTTACAATATGAGGTTCCTACCACATACTTACAAAAATGTGAGTTTGTATTTTACATATTTACAAAAATGTGAGCTTGTATTTTACATATTATAAAATTGAGCTATAGATTTATTATTTTTTAATTCAGTGTACAGCAGTCACTACACTGATCACAGCCAATACGAGATGCAAAATAAGTACATTTATCTTTTTATTAGACCGGCTTAGTGTAGGAGTATGTAATATTTAATACAATGTTTTGTCCGTTATCTACACCATCATCCAATACAAGATAGTCAGTTTACATGCTTTGCATCTTTTTCTGTCTTTTAACAAATTGTATTAGCCAGTTAGGGGGAAATCTATTGTATCTGTCTGAGTCACTTGAGTATTTGCTAGTTTACTTGGTCATAAATTTTCATTTGAACAACTGAAGGAACATAGATGAGCTTTTTCTTTTAATGTGTGTACTGAACTCAGTTGGTACCCATGGCACATTCTCAGTTTAAAAAAGGAATGTGATGCATGGTAGGAGAAAAAATGTGATGGAACCAAATTAGTCTCCGAAACATAAGCTGGAAGGTAGCAAAACAGATCATTTATTACTCGCCTTTAAATGCCCATTTCCTTTCCAGTAAGTGCTTGTAAGTAAATTTGAATATTAATTGAGTTTGAATATGGAAGATGAAGTTGAAGCAAAGTAACAGTTTAACCCTCTTTTTAAATTTTAGATAGCCAGTAAAACAGTGAAACATACAATCTTTTCACTTCTGTCAATAATCTTGAAAAGAACACTGAAAAACATTGAACATTGTCTGAATGAGAAGATATGGGAGAAGTCTGAAGTCTACACTTCATCTATGATGCAGGAATTTGTTCAGCATTACAGGGAAGCGCTGAGCAAGGTACAAAGAAAAGAAACTGGTACAGAATCACAATTTGTGTTACAGGAGATGCCTCAGTATGCTCAAGAACTAGTCTGTTTTTGTATTGTAGAAGCTAAACTCTCAAAGGTATTCTATTGACATTTTCCCATATTAAGTAATATTGGTGTGATTTTTAAGTCATGATGCTTAGAGTATTAAGAGAGAGGTTGTTGTGCGAGACACTAAAATAGTGTTCATGTTAAGCCTTTTGGGAGACTTGAGGATTTGTTGTGGAATACCTGATTGTGGGGAAGCGGGTTCAGGGAATTACACACCTGACTTGAAATTATATTGTTGGAATAATACTGACAACACATGAACTGATGGCTGTAATGTACTTTTAGAGGTGGAAAAATGGTTTCCTGCTTTCCTGAGGTAAAACTGAAACTGCTTGAAGCTTTGAACTTCTGCAAGGATACTGAGTAAAAATCTTTAGGAACTCTTGAATTAAACTTTTCTGAAGTAAATTGATATCTAAGAACAAAAATCAACACCCCCTCTCCCTTTCCCATAATAATTTGGGTTAACTAAAGCAGCACTTCTAAGCTCAAAATGCTTGATACCTCGTTCACAAAAGTTAATGATGATCAACCTTTCTTATATCCCTTCTCCTGTGTTTCTGCTTTGTAAATAATCTTTTATGAAAGAATTGTGTAACTGTTCATTAGCTGATGCTAGCCTTTTTTAAAAAAACAGCTTTTACCAGATATGACTAACATAATAGCAGTCTGGCAGTCACTTCTAAAGCAAGAGAAGGAACAGGATGGACAGAGAAGGGAAGAAGATCCTGCTTCCATGGTGGAGGAAATTACTGAGGTTGTAGACCATGGTAAGACAATTGTATTCATCTTATCTGGTATGCATGTGAATGGTGTTTATTAATGAGTCACATCTGATGATACTTTATGTGATTTAAAGTTGCTCATTTCCATCTTTTGATCAGATGCTGATGACTTCTTGTGTGTGTGTGTGTGGGGGGTACTGATGCTTTTTAAATGGCATTTGAGAACATTCTTAAAGCTGAACTCTTGTTTGAAGGCTTTTCATGACTTTTCTTACAAGAGTCACTGTGTGCCCTGTATGCATTTTTCCAGCCTGTGCACGTGCCAGACTTGTACTGGATGCAAAATTCAGCATCTGAAAATCTTCACTTAAAAAGAAATTAACTCTGGCCTTTATAGCAGTAAAAATGGGCTTGATAAGATTTCAGGAAGTGGTGCAGGAATTCTGTTCAAGAATTGAGGGCTGTACTGTTGTGTAGTACTTTGTCCCTGCCTGCCTCCCACTCTCTCACTTGTGTATTAAAATGCTTTCATATTTCAGTGCTTTCATAAGTCAAATGGTATGACCTTGGGTCATTTACAGGTTCTTTCCGAGCTGTTCTCTCACGAGCTATTCTGGAAAGAGCTTTCTCAGCCTCACCTATCTCATAGGGTGTCTATTGTGGAGAGGGAAAGGGAAAGGAGATTGTAAACCATTCTGAGACTCTTTTGGGTAGTGAAGGGCTGGGTTTAAATCCAATCTCTTCTTCCTTCCTCTTCCTCCTCCTCCTCTTCCTTCTGCTGGAGAGTACATTATGCAAAATAAGGAAACAGTTGCTTAATCTGCATAATTTATACAACTAGCAAAATCGCAGTTTTCTTGATCCAATTGCTTAATTTTATATTTTGTAATATATTATTATATTTAAGGGCAGAATACATGCTGTCCTGACCCAAGTATTATACAAACAATCTCCGTTTCCCATAACATATTATAAAGTCTGTTGTATCCTGGCAGTTACGTTAGGATTTGTTGGAGCATCTTAAGCAAAACTGTCACCTCAGCCCCGCTTCCTGTGAAGTGGTTTTGTCTCATGCAAACTGGCCTGAATTACATGTCATGATGAAAGTGCTAAAATAGTCACTGTTTCTAGTAATTGTTCTCTTGATTCATCCCCCATAGACATAAATGAGATCTTAGGATCTGAGAGTTTCCTCAGGATTGTTTTAAAATTATGTCTGTTGGTGGTGGGGTAGTTGAGAGATATACCTTGCCCTCCAGATTGTTCAGCAAATTTCAGTGGTACATTAAATACATGTTTATATTTTTGGTGAATGCCGTATTAAGAAGAAAAAGAAGAGATTGGATTTATAGCCCGCCCTTCACTACCCAAAGGAGTTACAGAGCGGCTTACAATCTCCTTTCCCTTCCCCTCCCCACAACACAGACATCCTGTGAAGTAGGTGGGGCTGAGAGAGTTCTTTCTAGGACTACCCTTGAGAGAACAGCTCTGGAAGGACTTGTAACTGACCCAAGGTCAGCTGCATGTGGAGGATTGGGGAATCAAACCCAATTCTCCAGATTAGAGTTAGTGCTCCTAACCACTACACCACATTGGCTCTCACATATGAAGGTGCATAATACTGAATATAATCATTGGCCGGTGTTGCTGACTCTGAATGGCAGTAGTTCTCCAAGGTCTAGGTTTTGTACTAGCAGCCGTAACTAAGACTTCTTGTTCAATCGTACAGTCGAGTCCGACTCTTCGCGACCCCATGAACCACATCATGCCAGGCCCTCCTGTCTTCCACCGTGCTTGGGAGTTTGCTTAATTTCATGTTTGTTGCCTCGATAACACTGTCTAACCATCTCATCCTTTGCCGTCCCCTTCTTCTGTTACCTTCAATTTTTCCCAGCATCAGGGTCTTCTCCAGTGAGTGCTCCCTTCTCATTTGGTGGCCAGAGTATTTGAGCTTCAGCTTCAGTATCTGGCCTTCCAGGGAACAGTCAGGGTTGATTTCTTTTAGGATTGACTGATTTGATCTTCTTGCAGTCCAGGGAACTCTCAAGAGTCTTCGCTAGCACCATAATTCAAAAGAATCTATTCTTTGGCGCTCGGCTTTTTTTATAGTCCAACTCTTGCAGCCATACAGTACTACTGGGAATACCATTGCTTTGACCATACAGACTTTTATTGGCAGGGTGATGTCTCTACTTTTTATTATGCTGCCTAGGTTTGCCATTGCTTTCCTCCCAAGGAACAGGCATCTTTTAATTTCATGGCTGCAATCACCATCTGCAGTGATCTTGGATCCCAGGAACGTGAAGTCTGTCGCTGCTTCCATGAGTTCCCCTTCTATTTGCCAAGGAGTAATAGGTCCAGATGCCATGATCTTATTTTTTTTGATGTCCAGGCCAGCATTTCGCATGATGTACTCTGCATATACATTAAATAAGCAAGGGGACAATATGCATCCTTGTCGTACTCCTTTTCCTATGCTAAACGAATCAGTTGTTCCTTATCCTGTTCTAACTGTTGCTTCTTGACCCTTATACAGGTTTCTCAAGAGACATGTACTCCCATGTCTTTAAGGACTTGCCATAGTTTGTTGTGATCCACACAATCAAAGGCTTTAGCATAGTCAATGAAGCAGAAGTAGATGTTTTTCTGGTACTCTCTTGCTTTCTCCATAATCCAGTGAATGTTGACAATTTGATCTCTAGTTCCTCTACCTCTTCGAAACCCAGCTTGTACTTCTGGCAGTTCTCTATCCAGGTACTGCTGAAGTTTAGCTTGTAGGATCTTGAGCATGACCTAGCTAGCGTGTGAAATAAGTGCAATTGTGTGATAGTTTGAACATTCCTTGGCATTGCCCTTCTTTGGGATTGGAATGTATACTGACCTTTTCCAATCCTGTGGCCACTGTTGTGTTTTCCAAATTTGCTGGCAAATTGAGTGCAGCACTTTAACAGCATCATCTTTTAAGACTTTGAATAGCTCAGCTGGAATACCATCACCTCCACTAGCTTTGTTGTTAGTAATGCTTTCTAAGGCCCATTAGACTTTGGATTCCAGGATGTCTGGCTCAAGGTCAGTGATTACTAAGGCTTACAAGCAAATTATTTCAACCCCGGGGCTTTTTTGTGTGTCTTTGATTATTCTGGTCTGAAACACATTTAATTGAAAGTAGTTAATAGTTCAAATTCTCCCCAAAACTCTTCCCATAAATTAAAATCCTGTTTTACAGTTTTGTGCAAGCAGAAAAAGCAGAAAATAGACCATCAATACTTAACGGGTTAGAGTGGGTAATCTTTTTCCTTACCTTTTGTCTGTGTCAAGTAGGTTTCCTCCTGCTGCCAACTGTGATCTCAGACAGATGTTTGAATAGGATGTAAACACATAAAATCAAAAAATGGATAAGATTGAATAACACAATAGATAGCTCACATATAACACAATAAATAGCTCACATATAATCCAGGAAAAGAATTCCTGGTGTGATGGATTTTGCCTAAGAATATCCTATTCAAGCATTATGTCCATGTATGGGTGTTCAGGTACCTGAGATTTGTGGCATGCTACATGTGGTCTTGCTTCCGTACCATATAAGTGGACCATTGTTTGAACTGTCCCAGTGTCCCTGACCCGCTGAAATTATTTGCAGGAGTACTCTTGGTACTTTTACTTTCTAAGGAGATTAAGACATTAGAGAGTTCCTTTTCAGGCTTCACTCTTAACCTGTTTGTTAAAATTTGGAGCCAGAGAGTTTTGGGAAAGAGATGTCTGTCTGCTGTATTCTTGTGTGACAGAGTACTCAGCCTTGGTAAGACTTAAGGAAATTGTTTTTGCTTGTTCTGTTTTTGCAGTGTCTTTTTGTCATGAAGGATCAACAGAAGGATCATGTTCTCTTATATATATTACATAACAGTCGCAACTAATATTATTGTTGAAGGGAAATTTAGCTCTTACACCACAAACAAAGGTCTGCAACGAAGATGGCTTTTTATGAAGGAGGGGATAGAGGCTCTTTAGGAAAGAGAGGGACTCTTTAGGAGAGAGTTTTTTTAGGAAAGAGGGGTGTAAGAGCTAAATTTCCTAAAGAGGGGATATCCCCCTTTTAGCTTTTGAATGGTTACATGTCTTCATACACAAAACGAGCAGGGATAGTCTGAAAGCTTTATGAATGGCCACAGAAACAGTCTTTCTCTGTCTCCCCTATTGTTGATCTCCCCCTATCCCCATGCTGTCCTCTTATGATCCTGGCACTCTTTGTTCATTTTAAAATATTTCTAATCTCACCTTTCTCCTACATAGCTGGGTCTCAAAGCAGATTACAACATATCAATAAAATAATCAGATCAGTATCATCACTAAAACATTCTTTACGAATATGGAGTCTTAGGATAGTATTATCCTATAGTCTTAGGATAGTATTAGTTGAATATTCCCTTACAGTGCTGCTGACGGCTGCTGTCCCACTACAGGGGCGGCATCAGCTGCTGCCACCAAAACAGGAATTATCCCATGCCAATGGCTTCATTTGGTTACATTTCTCATTACCCTTTTCTCTGACTACTGTTGTTTATACAACTGTACTGTTACTATCAGAAGAAAAAGAACATATAATAATTTACAGCTTTGCAGGAGGCATTGTTTTGTTGTGGACTTTTTTCAAAAACTGTTAATTCATTTTTAAAGGTTCAGATGATGCAGAGACCACTCTTTTGAAAGCTGTATTACTTCATGTTATATGTCTCTATCAGCAAGTTGTTCCTCACTTGGTGGCACAAAGCAACTTTGATTTTAGTAAATTAATCAAAGGTAAGTGTACTTTAAAATTATTGTCATTATGTCAGATCCTGCCTAGATTTCTGTGGGTGCAATGGGGGGGAGCAAAGTTCACTGACACCCCCCCCCCAGACAACTCAAAATGTCCTTAGAAATGCTGCCCTGGGGGACCAGGAACTAGGGATGTGCATTTGGCTTTCCTGAATTGAAAAAAATACCAAATTAATACCTTATCGGTATTTATTGGTATTTCTAAAGCCGAATGCAAATTCAGAAAACTTTTCGGCTACTGAATACAGTTTCCAGAATTTATTCGGCTTTTTTTGGCTTTCAGATAGCCCAATACCGACTTCCCTCCCCCTGTGGCTTCTCTAGTTAATTTCACTCCCCATCAGTCAGCTGTGGGAGTGAAACTGACCAGGGAAAGCCTCCTCTCTGCCTTCCCTTCTCCTGCTGCCCCAGGGCTGCTGGAGAAGCGCAGGCAGGGAGCCCAGCCATGTTTAAATGCCTTGCTTTCCCTCTCCCAGTTCTGGGAGGGAAAGAAAGGCACAGGGTTGTAGTCCTTACACTGAATTCTCTATAGCACTAAGGTCTGTGAGATACCAACGAGCAGAACAAAAGTTGACCTGGCCTGCTCTTCAACAACAGATTAATGTGTGTAAATCATCAGGTAAAGCTTTTCAAAGCCTGAAGGTAAACATTGTCATCTGTAATGCCTACCCGTCAAGCTGCTCTTAAAGCCTCAGCTACAGGGACTAGATGAAAAGTATACTACTTCAATGGGACAAGATTCAGTGTTTTCAGGACTACATGATGTATTGAAAATTAGCTTTTAATATTCTAGAGAAATCTTAATTGGCGTACCCTGACTTATCTGAGATTTCTTCTGTGTTTATAAATGTGAATTATATTTTATTACAATTTCTGGCTGAAGCTATTTCCCAAGATAGGAGGAAAATACAAAGCAATATTTTCATTTTTACACCCCAGGTATTATTACAGAAAAAGGACTGCGGCAGGAGATTCCTCCTGTTCTACAGCATCATATTCTAAAGGTAGCTCTGGTGTTGCCTGCAAATAAGTTTTCCTGGTTTAAAGTACAGGTAAGTGTGTGTCTGTCTGCTGGAGCGATCTATTTTAAGAGCAGCCATGTGCTATGTTCATTGTTTTGCTAGCTTTCTTGTGTCTTTGTCACTGGTACTGCTGATCTTTAAGGCCATTCTCTCTCTCTCTCTCTCTCTCTCTCTCTCTCTCTCTCTCTCTCTCTCTTTCTTTCTCTTTGAGAAAGCTTCTACTTTGCTGGGGGCAGAATTGAAAGAGCTGCTCCCTGATTTAGATATTTATTTACAAAATTTGTAGCCACATACATAATAACAGAAAATGCAAGAAATATCAGAACATTTAAATATCCTTACAGATGATAATTTAAAATAGAGAGTGGCAAAAATGGAGCTCTAATAAAGCTCTAAATGCCATGGGTGAGGTTAACCAGATCAGTTAAACACAATCTGTTACAAAAACTGTCTGAAATGGGTAAGTTTAAACTGTTCTCTGAAAAGCCATTGCAGAATGAATGACCTTGTTTCCTAAATGAGTGGCCTTCTTGGCCCTGGCTGGCACCCTCCTCTTCTCTTTTTTCTTTTTCCATCTTGCCCACTTCGGCCTCCTCCTTAATCTGCCTATGACATGGAAGAACAGTCCAGAGCAGGTTTCAGATCAAATTATAGACGCCATCGGAAGACAGTGAAACTTTGGGGTGAACTGATTGTTGTTTTTAAACTGTATTTTTGTATATTAATTTATGTAAATCACCCAGAGCCCTGTGTACTCAGGGGTGGGGTGATTCAGAAATTTAATTTAATAATAACAATAATAATAAAACTGACAGTGGAAGGAAGAGACACCTTTGAGACTGTACATCTGTGAATTATGGGAAACGTTCCTATTTTCCTCAACTTCACTCTTTCCATTTCTGCAAGGAGTGTGATTATTTTTCTCTTGCATACATGTAGAGCAGATGTGATACTTGGGAAAATGCAAAGTGAAACCCAGTGGTCCCAGGCACACAGGATAAATAATAACATTGTTCTTCGGTATGTCTCTGCAAATAGTGTAATCCTCCCTTTCAGGTGTTCAAAACCAATTAGGACATTCGAGGGCTGCTTTCTTACTGTTTATAGTTTGCTTATTTCTGTTACATTTTAATCCTGCTATGATGACCCTCTTCCACTTCCCTCCCTCAGAGGTATGATTTTCCCTTCTTTTTTCTTTCCCTGCCTGACTAAGCTGCCCTAGCTATTTGTGCTCTCCTTCCCTGAAGAAACTGTGGCTGTCCCACCCTGTCACAGTCTGATATTTTGCTGCTGGCTCAGCACAGGAACCTGAGGGAAGGGTCAAGATCGCCCTTCAACTTAAACAACTGAAATGGGACTCTAGGCTTTTTGAAATTTAAAAATAACAAAACATTTTATTCAGCATAGATGGGAAAAGATCAGGTGAAATCAGGGGTAAGATTTCTGAGGTAACTTAATAAAGAACTCTGAGATAAATCAGTACATGCACAGACTTCATATTTTTAAGCAATTGAGAACTTCTTAAGCTTTTCACAGTGACTTAGAATCTTTAAGATGAGAGGCTTTTGTTTCAGTGTTTTCTCAACACACCGGTAAACTTTTTTTTTGAGAATTCACTGACTCTTTTAGTTTCCTGAAGGGTTGGGATACTCTATCCTGTACCCAAACTCCTTCACTAAACACACCAGTACTCTTCTTGAGCTTCTTCTTGAAGCATATCAGTACTCTTCTTGACCCTTTTGGTTTTAAAAGGCAGTCTCTAACCATGCCACTCTTCAAATCTCCCTGTTTTAACTGGGTAGAGAAATCATTCTCTCTCTAGAAGATCTATCCCCTTTTCTTGGCCCAAATAGGACTCCCTCTTCTGTGCCAACCTCCCCAGTACTCCATCTGTGTTAAATTGCTCTCAGTCGGGGCAGAATTCAGACTGAATTCTCCTCAGCATCCAGTTCAGAAGACTTTCTCTGATCAACTGATTCTAACTAATCAGATCTCTTTGAGCAGCCTGTCTCTCAAGGCTCTCTGGCTCTGTGAAGAATTAAGCCTCCACAGTCCTTTACCTGTTTGTACAGCACTTCTAAGCTTTTAAAAGTGCCGTTCGTCACACCTGCCCTTTTTCCAAAGAGCTCATTTGTAGTTTAACCTTACATTGCATCCTTCAGACCGACATGGCTGCCCAGATGATTGTGTCCTTGTGACAGCCCTTATAATCTCATACTTCAAACTTCAGTGCTCTTTATAAATATATGTTTGTTGCATAATGTAGTAGTAAAAGGTTTGGATTATGATGACCCAGGTTCAAATCCTTCACATCCGTGGGTGACCATTGTTAAGTACCATTCTCTTACCATTTAATCTACCTGCCAGAAATATTGTGTGGATAAAACAGAGAAGGGAAGAACATGTATGCTACCCTAAGCTTGGAGAAAGGTCTGGAGAACTATTGAACAGATAATTATACACAGGTGTTGCTAATTAGAGGATTTTGGAAAGCTTTAGTGTTTGTGGAAAACCTGAAAAGCATTTTATCATGCAAACAATAAAATGTTTTCTTTTAGGTTGACTTTACAGCAAAGAAAGCGTGTACTGAAAGATCAGTATTTTATTTATTGATGAAAATGTTTGTTACAAGTAACCATCCTCATTTCAAAACATCAACAAAGAAATTGATTATTAAGGTAAGCCTTTGCATTGAGCTAGTCATCAGAATATTTCTATTTCCACAGAAAATGGTTGACATTGAGCTGGGGGATTTAGGGCTCAGCAATATAAATGAACACCATGTTTGATATCTTGTTCTGTTCTGAGTCACTCATAGTATGCTTACCCAATCCAAAGAAATTGTTTCAGTCAGATTTTACTTGACCTTTTTTGTTTTTGCTGGGTTTTGTTGGAAAGTGACATGATCTTGGGGAATATAAACTATATGAGCCACGCTGGTGTAGTGGTTAAGTGCGTGGACTCTAATCTGGGAGAACCGGGTTTGATTCTCCACTCCTTCACTTGCACCTGCTGGATGATCTTGGGCAAGCCATAGATCTGATAAGCGCTGTTCTTGAAAAAGAACAGTTTCTGTCAGAGTTCTCTCAGCCCCACCTACCTCACAGGGTGTCTGTTGTGGGGAGGGGAAGGGAAAGGAGTTTGTAAGCCGCTCTGAGACTCCCTTGGGTAGTGAAGGGCGGGGTATAAATCCAATCTCTTTCTCTTCTTATATTGCTTATGAAACGGGGTTTTTTTACACTGCACTTGACAAGCTTCGAATCAGTTCTCTGATACGACTGATATTACCATATTGGGACTCTGTGGATTCAGATTATGTTCCTTGTGACCATTGACCAGTAGCTTGACCTGCTGCCTGAAGTCCTACTGTTGGCAATGAAGTCTTCTGTGGATCAGAGGTTCAGGGGCAGGGAGGTTATATAGACCACATGTGGGTGATTTTTAGGCAACCTGCTATATACTTCTGTAGCATTTCTGAATGATTGAGCAGTGCTATTAGGGAAACCTAGGTAATTGGAAACCAGGCCTGTAGCCCAAGTCCATGTTTTCAGAAGCTAGGTCTATCCAAATGGCTAAATTGCAGCCAGAGGTGGTTAGACCTGGCATCCTGGTGTCTAGGTCTACTCCCATGCATTTAGTTCTGGAACATTTAAGATCCTTATGGAGACAATTAGGTTGTTCACATGAACAAGTAGGACTATTAGTTTAGTTTTGAATTTTTTTTGCTCAGACTTTCATACGTCATATGTCTCTCTGGGCGTTGCTAGGCAACCACAACAGTATTGTCAGCCTCCAAGCCTTGGTTTCTGTCAAAAGGCAGGGGTAAAGGGCCCTTTCCAAGATTGTTTTAGCCTTTGAGGGAGGATTCATTGGGGCCTGGCCTGGCAGAAAACATCAGGGAACTTGTTACCACAAAGCTTGCATGTCTCATCCAGGCCTGGCTGCATGCCGTTGTTCAACAGCAGGTAGGCCACAAAACTCTATGTAGCGCAGTGGTTAGAGTTTCAGTTTAGAATCTGGGAGATCCAGGTTTGAATCCCCACTCTGCCATGGTGCTTACTGGGTGACTTTGGGGCAGTCACACCCTTCCGGCCTAACCTATCTCACAGGGTTGTTTTGAGAATAACATGGAAGAAAAAGGAATAAAAATCCAAAAGATAAAACAATAATATGAGCTGCTGTGGGTCCCCGTTGTGGATGAAAGCAGGGTATAAGTTAAATAAATAAATAATAAATAAAGCTGGAGATGGGGGCAGATAAATTGTAGGTTGGTGGGTGTGTGAGAAGTAAGCAGGAAAAGGGATTGAGCTATAGGGAAAGGAAAAGAGGAAGTAGGGGGCTAAATGTAGTGCTCCTCCCCGCTTGTAACATACTAATGTCATAATTACTTAAAAAGTGATGTGTGCTTTTTATTCTTAGCCCCACCATTGCTTAAAGTTTATCCTCTCTTATTCTAATTGTGTAGTTAATAACTCTATTGATTAAATATATTAAAGATTACTTCCTTAACATAACATAAATGGAGGCTGCTAATAAACCTCTATCTAGTAAGAATCATTCGATCAGGTTTATTGTTTTCAACAAAAGGCCATAACAACCAGGACCTAATTTACAAATGCAGATTTGAATGAGTACAATTATTTGGAATATGGCAACTACTCAAATAAGTCTCAGCCTAAGTTCCTTACAAATGATTGCCAAGCCAACATATAATATTTGATATGAAACTGCCAACTCAAGCATCTGCCAACACTAATTACCTTTCAGTTCAGTGAAGACTTCACATAAGAGGAAGCCCTATCAACTGTCCTGTCCAAAAGGGGGACATCTGGATCTCTTCTGGGGTTTGTGCTTAGAGAGAGTACAATAATAAAAATGTCTTCCACCACTTTGGCTGCCCAAGAGCAGGATCTTGTTACATAAGCATCCTGGCCTGTCAGTTTTCAGTAGCAATTGTCTGCGAGGTTTGAAAGTGAAAGAGTTCTTTCATTTACAAATTCAGCTGAAGAGTCTTCATGACAGAGTAGTTAACATACTTAAATTACAGGTGAAAAGTTTAACATTTACACAGCTGCTAGATCAGACTTGGCATTAACATATTGAATCCACAGGCTGAGCTAAAATTGAGGGGTATGCAAATACCCCCCTTATCTTTTCAGGGGATTTTTAAAGGCTTTTTTTTTTCCTGTGGAGGGTGCTCCATGGAAGAGGTGTACTCTTCTGACATGCACTTAACCCACATTCTCATCAAACCTGGCATTAAGGTGATGACAGCAATCTATTATGAGCTTCTTTTGCAGCCTCCCGTGGTCTGCAAATTATACTCAAAATAGTCCTACTTTTTCCTAGTAGCTTTGACTATGCTGTGATGTCACTGAAGTTAGATGAAGTTAATACAGAACCAGAGAAAATGTTACCAGGGTAAAAAAATCCACAAGCCATGTTAATCTGTTGTAGCAAAAGACGTTGCATTTAAGAAGGTAATTCTGACAAAAATTGGTCCCAGAACTGTAGCCTGACATAGTTGCCAACACCAACAAACCAGATCAAATAAGGTGGGTTTATCTCTAGGGGAACATTGCAAGCCCCGCCCTCTTTTGTATGGAAAATGCTTGCTCTTCAACATTTGGCTCAGCATTAGAGTTACCCATTTATAGGGAAGCCCTTTTTTGTGACTTGATGTGTAATTAGATTTCCTTTATTTTTTGTCTGGGATTGCCTTTCGGTGGCTTTTTTCCATCCAAAGGCTGCAAAACATATTACATGACTTGAATTTTGTGAGCTTTTACAAAAAAAACCAGAAATAGTTTTTCAGTTTAAGACAGAACAAAGCCATGCAGAATCCGTAGTTAGAATGCTGTCATCTTAAAGTGATTGACAACAGTGCTATATGCTAGTAAAGATATGTCCATACTAATGGCTGCTGTCATAATTATTGTCTGTTGGTTTTGGTATAAGGGGGAGATGTTGTCCATCTTGGGATTTTTAAAAAAGTTAATATGATTTATTAATATTCTGCCACGCTCGGATTACTCAGAATCTTCTATTTTATTATTTATAAATGTAGCATCTTTCAAGTTCTAAGTGGTAGCTGCCTGAAGTGCTCTTGGATAGTGAAGGGGTTCCAGTATTGTTGATTAACATCGAATTTAGAATAATGATTATAAAACCAATAGCCCTGATCCACGTATGTATGCATGCAGCTGCATGTGTTCAGTTGCAATTTTGCTTCATCATCTGTTTGGCAGCGAGGTGGTTGAGGGTAGGACTAAAAACACTCCTCTGCTCCCCCTCTTGATTGCTATGATTCCAGTTTATTTTAAAGGGCAACATAGGATGCACCCTGGCTGCTGGACAGGCTGGAGAATATGCATGCAGCACCTGGCCATGTATGCTTTGCATCGGTATGCATTTTGACTCTTAACTAAACTAGGACCAATGAATGCTGCCTGTGTTCTGTTTTACCAGTTCAACTGCAATTTATAGCATTAGTAGATTGAGTGAGAAGGGGAATGGACATTTCTGATGAAATTGGCCTTTTGGAGTACTGTATGTAAAATAATTTTTTTGCGGGGGGGGATAGCTTATATTTACATTTTAATGCAATATGCCTTTGAATAGGTGGTCTGTAATTATAATCCAAGTATTCCACCATCTGTTGCTGCAATGTCTTCATATCAAAATTAGACATACTGTTCAAAAATAGCAACTGATAGCATTATATAATTGTTTTCTGACAGGTTTTGCACGACAGTGGGGTATTTCAGTATACCTGGAAGGAACTTGAGCTGTGGCTTGAACACTTGGAGAACACAGTAGAAGCCAAAAAGGAAGCAGTGATTCAGTTTTTGGAAAGGGTAATGAATGTACAAATTAGTCAGATGAAGAGTGCCAAGAATAGCATTAGAAGAAATGTATTACCTTTTGTTGTTGTTGTGTAACATGTTTCAAAGAATCATGAATTAATTCTGAGAGCTCACATCTGCTAGACGTGGAAAGGGAACAAAGAAAATGAGATGTAGGAAAGGCTTTTGTTAGCGATTTCCACTGCAGTAATAGCACTGACAAAGCACGAGACTGTTGCTATAGCTGAATGAAAAAATAACTCTGAAAGGAAAGGCAGATTATGTATCTTCAGGTTAAACTTAATTTTCCCATTGACACTCTCAGTACACAACTGCTTTCTTCTCTTATGGAAACAAGAAGTAAAGCAGGGAAATCATGATCCAGAAATATTACTTCCCAGGAGTTCATAGGGGGGGAAACCTTGATTCCGAGAATCACTGTGGCTTGGATCCTAAGATTCCTGTTTGCAAAGCAATAGTCTTCCTCCAATAGAGACCAACTCTCAATGGAAGAAAGAGTTGGATCTAACCTGTTATTCTTAATTAGTGAACAAGAAGCAAAAGTTGTAGCCACAAGATATTTAAGAATAAAATATTTTTGAAAGATGAGGAATTTAAAAATGTTTTAATGAGATCTGATATTAACAGTCATGGTGGCTTTGCCTATTTGATAAAGTACCTCTTCCTTAAATCTTTGTATCAAATAAGCTTTTGATGATGCATTACAAAAATGGTGTCTCTGTATGCAAGAATTGAGTAGTGTCTTACATTTACCTCATAAATGTATATTTACTCAACTATTTATACACTCCCTTTCCCACCAACCAGCAGTCAACAAACAATAAGAACTAAACTATCAATTACGAAGAAAAATCAGCTACCTTACCCTCACAGTAATACAACCCCAGATTAATGATCTCCCAAGTGACTCTCTAAAAAGGATGGCCTTGCATTTTTTCTTGGCCTTGGCCCCTGCCCGGTGGAATGAGCTCCTGTGTGAGATCAGGGCCCTGTGGGATTTATTACAATCCCACAGGGCCTGCAAGATGGAGCTCTTCCGCTGGGCTTTTGGTTGAGGCAACGGGCATCCCCCTCCTTAGGTCGTCCTCCATCTGTAGTCTGGGTCCTGAGATCCTAAATCTTAAAGATCTCTAAAAAACCCTGTTCTAATACCATCAACCACTGAGGTGTCTGGTTTTTTACTAGAGTTATATGGCACATATGAATCATGTTATTTTATACTGTGTTTTAATGTGGTTTTAATTGCATTGTATTTTATACTGTTGGATCCCGCCCTGACCCCGTTAAGGGGTAGGGTGGGATATAAATAAAAATAAATAAAAATAATAATAATAAAAAAACTAACATAGGAGCCTTCACACATCCTTGGGAATGGCATTCCTTAAAGCCAGAGCTAACACTGAGAATGAGCAGGTGTGAACAATGGCCAACCAGCCAACTTGGAGGGTGAGCTCAACCAGAAGGAGTCTCTGGAAATTTCCGAGCTCTCCTTCCAAGTTAAATGGTTGGCAGACTTTGATTTTTGTGACTCTCTGGCTTGTGGATGACACTTGGACCCTCCTGACTGTGCCGTCTCCCAAAGTCTGAATGCCAACAAGTTGCTTAATGTTTCAAGTATACATAGATTAAAGAAAGATGTTGTGACAGATGCCTTATCAGGTAGTTGAAACACTGATTATAGGATTATAAGTGGTCATAAAAATCCCAGGCAGAATTAATCAGTGTGGATAAAAATCCTTTTAAAATGTTCTTACTGTGATCTTCTTTCCCTTCTTTTGAACGAGTAGTTGAATGTCTTTTTAAAAGTTATTATTATTACTTTTTTATTTGACCCAGAGCAGTTACATATGCTCAGACCAGTGGGATATGCAAATATATAATTCTGCTCAGGAGTTGTACCCTTTAGCCTTAACAGTTCGGTGTAGTGGTTAAGAGTGGAGAATTCTAATCTGGAGAACTGTGTTCGATTCCCCACTTCTCCCACATGAAGCCAGCTGGTTGACCTTGGGCCAGTCACAGATCTTTCAGAGCTCTCTCAGCCTCTAAAAACAAGTCTAGCTTGCCACCTTAGCACAGTGCTAAGAGCTACAACTTGCTGCTGCTAGACAATCCTAGGATCTCCTGGCTATTCTACACATAATGCCACACAATAATAATTATTAATTATTATAACAGTGAAGGGTAGAAGCTGGGTGAACTTATCAGGCCCAGACTGAACTTTGATTTTCATTATAACAGTTCCCACTTTTGAAGAAGCATGCTGCTATTCTACTACAAATTACCTGGTCTTTTTGGCAGTGAGAACTATTTTAGCAAAAATGATTCTTTTTTGATTGCATGCACTGTTCTTCTCTGTGAACCTATTGCATAGCATATATGCCTAAAATTGCATTACATTACATTAGAACAGGGGTCCCTAACCTTTTGAGACTGTGGGCACCTTGGGAATTCTGGGACAGGGTGATAGGGTACAAAATGTCTGCTGCAGGAAGGAGGTGGAGCTACACACACAGAGGAAGCCCGAGTACAGGGGAGAAGAGGGGTAATTTTTAAAATGCATTGCAAAAGAGGAGAATGAAGCCAACCCTGTGGTGGCAACTGCTGCCACGTCAGTATTATTTCAATCTGCACAGCCAATCAGAAGTCATGCTAGGCAAGAGCCCCCCCTGCCCCCCCTTTCCAAAAACATTTGGTAGGCATCATGGTGCTCACGGGCACATTGGGGGACCTCTGTATTAAGACCGTATGACTGATGTTCATTTTCCTTTGCAGGTCTTGGTGAAACTGGTGACCAGCCCCTATCCTTACACTGATAAGGCAGCAGATCTTGTCCAAGAAGCCAGTATTCTTCAGGTCAACCTGTTCAAACAAGATGCTGATAATGTCAGCATACCCATCTCTCACATTGATGGTATGCCATCAACTTTGGTGTCCATGGAGTCTTTCTGCAGATGTTCCACTGATACTCTTGAGAATTTTCTGGTGTCAGTTTTTCAGAAATCAAACATTAATTATACTCTTGACAAGTAAAAAGCTTAAGCAATTAATTTGTTTATCTTCATAAACTAAGGTTTTTCTTTTTTAAACTAGATGCGCTGGATATGATTGATGTCCTTGTGGAAGGCAATGAAGGCTTAGATGAAGAAATTGGATCCACTTTAAGTGAAGATATGGTTGTGAGCACTTTTCCATTCAGTGCTGTTGTACCATGTGCTTTAGAAACCAGGAATAAGTTGCTTCTCGAGTGTGATGGAAGCACAAAGGGTACATTCTTCTTATATTTAATTGTTTTGTTTGTAGTAAAATCTACAGATAGTATTACTTGTAACCATTATGGAAAAGATTGTTAAGCAATGGCTTAGTGAAGAGCTCCTGTTGGCTACGGTTTGTTGCCTAATAACTTCATTAAAACATCCGTTCAATTTTAGACATCTTTTTGTCTTTTATTCAGTTTTTGTCATGCTGGAATTAAGAGACTGACTTTCTTTCTTCATGGTCATGAATTCCCCAACTTGAATAGCCTGAGTAAGGAATCTGAAGATAATGATATTGTAAGAGCAGCACATTTGAGAAGCAGATCGGAGCCAATGTGACACAGACCGTTATTCCATGGAGAACTAGTTATCTGAAAGTGAAAGGCAAACATTTCTGTTTTGCCAGGCAAGAGGAAATAGTGTGATGATGTCATTCAGTGATTTTTAAAAAAAAACATATTTATCCTTTTGGAAAACCTGCATTGTAGACAATATAGACCAGACTTCTCTAATATCCAAACAGATTATTTTGAAAACCATTATTTAATTAAACAAAAAACAAAAAACCTTGTGTGCTTTATCTGACTTTTTGGAATCCTGTCAATTGTGTCTCCCAAATACCTTCACTGGTTCCATTTTTTTCCTGTTGTATCAGTTTCCCCCTTTAACTGTGACAATGCCCTGGAATTTTGTAAAGCATTGGTTTAGCCCTATTTTTTTAGTCTGGAAACTGAGATCAATTATCATTGTTTAGGAAATGAAGGTGTGCAGATGGCCTTGAGTACCATTTACATTCAATACATTCTATGTTGCAAGTTTCTGCTGTCTGCTTTTATCCACTAAAACCAGTTCAGTGCAGGCATAGTTAAGATTGTTTGAAATTAATGGCATCTAACTCTACACACACGACAGTGTGATGACTGTTGGATGTCTTTTTAGTTTGGGGGGGATACCAAGTGCCAGAAATGGTTTGGAGTGTAATACTGTTAGAATCCGCTCTGGCACAGTTTGTGCACTTAATTCAGTTAAATACTTCTGACTTGCTAGCTGAAAAGTCACAGGTATGGAAGGTTTGTGTTTTTTTTCAGATTAACAGATCTATCTTTGAACATTTCAAATTATAAACCACAATATCCTGTCTGAGATTATTATTTCTGTTTCTGCAGGAGAAAGTATAGTGGACTATCTCATCACTGTTTGCACTGACCTGCTACATTCTCAAAGAGACCCATTAGCTCTTTGTTTGATGTTTCAACTTTATGACAGAGAACTTCAGTCTCTGAGTTCTTCTAACTACCCTCAACTCTACCAGTTCGGCCGCTACTACTGTCTTTGGATACCACAGCAAACTAAAGAAGCTTTGGTAGGTGAATCCCCACAAAACAACTTGGAAGAGTCAAGGACTGAGGAGGTCAATAGGAGCTGGAATGGACCTCCAACAGCACATTTTTTTAGGTTGACTTGTGTATTTACAGTCTTTAGTGTTATATGAACCATGATTTACTTGTTGTTTTTGTGTTTCTCATTATATGGATTTTTAAAATAGTTCCAGCCACTCAGCAGTGTGTCTGAAGATCGATTCCCATCACTGGATTCATCGTTTTCCTCCTTGTTGAAACACAGTTATGAGAAAGGTGCTGCCTGTCTCTTGGAAGAAGGTGTGAAGGAGAAGTTGAATGAGGCAATTTTACATCTCCAGCCTCAGAAGCTCTTGTTAGCCTCAAAGCATGTCCTGTTGTACCTAAAAACCACAGTGGAAAATTTCAGCAGTGTAAGATATTTTTTTTGTCTCTCCTGCATCCCTTTCTGAGCAACACTAAAATATTAACTACATACATGCTTTCTTTAATATTTTATTCCAAGACTAAGAACAACATCAATTATGTGGCAGCAGATTTGTGCTTTCCACCACAAGTATGAGTAACTGAGAGCTACAGACAGTCTTGACTTCTAGGCTGACTTACTTTGCTGTATGCATATGATGTGGTTTTATGAGTATACATAAAATACCTTCTGTGTGCCTGTAAAAATATAACATGTGGAATGGCCACAAGGTAATAGGACAAAGATGTAATTTCCTTGCTGATTCCTTTTCCTAGTTTTTTCCTCATCCTGGAATGTGTGTCTTTTCCCAGCAGTTCAGCAGCAACTCTGGTCTTTCCTTTCTCATTGACTTTGTGGACCTTCTGAAGAATATATTGCTCAGAGGTAATGAGATAGAAAT